GTCTTCCCGTTTCACTTTCAATCCCTCTCCTGCCCCGCCCTGCCCTTCGGTGTGGGAGGGCTCCCTGTGTGCCGAGGGGAGGGCCTGAATCAAGCAGCAGCAGCAGCAGCAGCGTCGTCCTTCGCTCAGGGGCGGCAGGGATGAGCCAGGCGCTCGGGGTGCTCCGTCCCCTTGTGGCTGCTGTCTGGGGGTGCACTGCCTCAGGCACGGGGGGGAGCAGGGAGCAGGGAGCCGGGGGTAGGCTGCTCTCAGGAGAGAGCAGGCTAGAACACGCTGGGGGGGGGGCATGATTTCAGCTTTCCTTTGCCCAGGCTAAGACTTTTCATGTTGTCCTGGACAGGGGTAAAGTGGGTATTTCACCTCTCTCACCACACACACACACATTCAGCTTGGGGGCTCAGGGCTTCTGGCTTGATCACAACGCCTTGCCCTGCTCCTGGTGGTTTCGGGGTGACGTGGGAGGGGCACAGGGCCGACGTAGGGGCCACAGCCCTCCCCTCTCCCCCTTTGAGACTGGATCCGCCCGGACTCCGCTTGGCGGGGGGGGGACCCGATCGCGGGCTGACCTGTAAGAGGGGTCACAGCTTCCGTTCTGGGGCTCATCGTAGGTCACGTCCCAGTCCCGACCACCTCTTGCCAGAATTTTGGGAACTTTTTCCCTAGGAGAGAATTCTGTGTCTTGCTCCCCTTCCTGTCCCCTCTGTCTCTCCCTCTCTCTTCATCTCTCCCTCTCTCTCCATCCCTACCCTTCCCGCCTCTTGATCTCTTACTTTGACTCGTCGCCTGACGGTTTTCCTGACTTTCTGCCTCTCCCCCCCTCTCCTACTCCCTCCTCTCTGTCGTTCGGGATGGCCGTGTAATCCAAGCCGCTGGACTGCTGAAGGTAAGTGGATTCCGGCAGAGACGTCGACAACAACAACAACAACAAAAACGGCTCTTTGTTCCTGCCTTGTCCACAGGTGGGAAGGCAGCTGCTGTTTTGTTTTTTTGGGGGTTAGGGAATCTCATCCCAGACTGACAATCCAGTCAGCCCCCAAATCTGCTCACCCTGCTGTCTAATGGGCACGATGGGGTCACCCCTGCTGTGACTGGGCACGAGGCCCCCCACAGGCTGGGTGCACCTGACACCCCAAACGTGCCGGTAGCAGGCACCCAGGAGTGTGCCAACTCTGGTGCTCACACATGGCGCCTCTGCTAAGACGGGAAGAAATATCCCTTCGGCCGGATACAATAGTCCCTGTGACGCTAGTCTGCCTCAGGGGCAGGGCGACGAGGTCTCAAGAGCACGCTTGTGTTCAAGGAAGCTCGGTGTGGATAGGGAAGTTATTCCCTGAATGTAAGAACCCGGGTTACGAACCAGAGGAGTGTGTGCAGCCTGTCTGGCCTGTTTGGTAGTTAGTCGCGAATTGATCCCAGGATCTGGTCTCGTTTTGAGCTATGTCAAAAAAAAAACAGCTTCAACCTCATGGCTGGTCGTCTCGTCCCACGCCCCCGCCGCCCTTTGCGTAAAGTGGTGCCTCCTGC